TCCCTCAATTCCCCCCTGGAAAACAAGCTGCCTTTGGCTTCGGCCGTGGCACAAACGAGACGCACGTGGCCGGAGGCTCCACAAACGCTTTCCTGCTGCCTCTCCACTCGTGCTTTCATGGGTGCTAACGGGCGCTTCTGTGGCCGGGCCTCCCCAAGGCGGCACCCCGTCGCGGGCGCCGCGGGGCCGGGCAGCTTTCCGAGCGCCGCTCCTCTTTGGCGCCCAGGTCCAGCAGCTGGTGCCCAAGCGGGACCACGCGCTGCTCGACGAGCAGAGCAAGCAGCAGTCCAACGAGCACTTGCGGCGGCAGTTCGCCAGCCAGGCCAACATCGTGGGACCCTGGATCCAGACCAAGATGGAGGTAGGGTGCCCGCGCCGCCCGCGGGGCTCGGGACCCCGGCGCCGTGCCCTGAGCCCGCGCCGCCGGCCCCGCCGCAGGAGATCGGCCGCATCTCCATCGAGATGAACGGCACCCTGGAGGACCAGCTCAACCACCTCAAGCAGTACGAGCAGAGCATCGTGGACTACAAGCCCAACATCGACGTGCTGGAGCAGCAGCACCAGCTCATCCAGGAGGCGCTCATCTTCGACAACAAGCACACCAACTACACCATGGAGGTGGGTGCCCCTTGCTCCCCGCTCCGGCCCGTGTGCCGAGGCATTTCCAGAGGAATCTCTTGGCTTCAGAGGATTGAAATCCAAAGGGATCGAGCCCTGGCCCTAGGGCTTGCTGGGCGCTCGGCCGCCCTGCGCGGGCAAACCAAAGCAGTGGAGGGGTCGGCGGCGCTTGTAGCAGGACCCTCGTGCAGCTCGCAGACCGAACGTGCCCCTTGCCCCCCCCAGCACATCCGCGTGGGCTGGGAGCAGCTTCTCACCACCATCGCCCGCACCATCAACGAGGTGGAGAACCAGATCCTGACCCGGGACGCCAAGGGCATCAGCCAGGAGCAGATGCAGGAGTTCCGCGCGTCCTTCAACCACTTCGACAAGGTACCCGCGAGCCCCGCGGCCGCTGCGGGCTGCCTCCCCCCTGCGCCTCTCCCCTCCTCTTGCTCCCTTCTGGCGCCAGCGAGACCCGGGCTGTATTTCGCCCCTCTCTTTGCCCTGCAACTCGCTGGTGCGGGGCACCGAGCAGCCTAGCAGAGCCCGGCAGTGCCCTGGGGGGCCCGCGGGAGCCCACGCTGCCCTGCCTCTGACTAACCGAGAGCCTTCTGCCCTCTTCCTGCCCTGCCTCGATGCCGGCGCCTGCTGCGGCCTCCACCGCCAGGACCACGGAGGCTCGCTGGGCCCGGAGGAGTTCAAGGCCTGCCTCATCAGCCTGGGGTACGACGTGGAGAACGACAGACAGGTAACCGGGCCTCGCTGCTGCGCCGCCCGCCGGCGCTCCCGCCGCTACCCCGGCGCCTTCCTCTCTTCCCGCGTGCCCGTCTCGTGGTCCCTCCGTCACCTGCACTCGCCGCCCGCCTTGGTGCTGCATTTTCCCGCTGGGCCTCTTTTCCTGCGCCGTCAGCTCCCCGGATGCCTCCTCGCACTGACTCGGCCTGTTTTTCTCTTCCTTCCATCCCCCTTGCTGCGCTCCTGGGATTCTCCCTCCTTTCTTTCCACCCGTCTCTGCATGCGCTGCCCATCTCTGCCCTTCCTGGCTCCCTGTTCTCTTCTTCCTCCTCTGCCATGCTCTCGGAGTAGAAGCGCACGGGAAGCATGGACACGGATGACTTCCGAGCTCTCCTTATCTCCACAGGATACAGCCTGGTACGCTCTCTGCAAGTCCCTCCTTTCTCCTTTCTCCTTCGCCCATCTCTTCCTTGGATTTTCCGGCACGGGGGGCTGCGGCCGGGGCCGCTGCCTCCTCCATGCCGCTCGCTCGGGGCGTTTCTGCTGCTTCCCGTCCCGCTCGAGGGCTCGGTGCTGCTCCATGGGGTCGGGGGAGGCCCCCCGGGCTCCCCCCTTCCTTGGGGGCTGGGGGCTCGCATTGGGGCCGTGCGAGCTGCGCTCTCCACCAACCAGGCTCCTTCCCTCCTCCTCCTCTTCCTCCCAGGGCGACGCCGAGTTCAACCGCATCATGAGCGTCGTGGACCCCAACAACAGCGGCACCGTCACCTTCCAGGCCTTCATCGACTTCATGTCGCGGGAGACGACGGACACGGACACGGCCGACCAGGTCATCGCCTCCTTCAAGGTCCTCGCTGGCGACAAGGTGAGTGGCGGCGAGCTCCGCGGAGGCTGCCCGGCACCCGGAGCCCCCGAGGGCCCCGCCGGGGCGGGGGGCTGCGCCCGGGCGCCCCCGACCACCCCCCTCTCCCCAGAACTACATCACGGCCGAGGAGCTGCGCCGCGAGCTGCCCCCCGAGCAGGCCGAGTACTGCATCGCCCGCATGGCGCCCTACCAGGGCCCGGACGCGGCGCCCGGCGCCCTCGACTACAAGTCCTTCTCCACGGCGCTCTACGGCGAGAGCGACCTGTGAGGCGGCCGCCGCGGCGGCCCCCGAGCGCTGGCGCTTCGTGGCGGGGGGCCGAGCTCCCCGCTCCCGCATTCCCGCTCACGTCACCCCCCTTTCCCGTCTCCCCACGCTCGCCGGGGGTGCCGAAGCCCCCCGGGGCCGCTCACCTACCCTCCCGGTTATCGCATATTATACCGCCCGCGTTACCTATGCAATGGTTATTTTATTTTTTATTTTATTTTATTTTTTTTTCTCTCTGTTTTCCTCCCGGCCAGGGGACGGGGAGGGGCAGCTCACTTTGGGGTTTCTTGGCAGAGGGTGCTGATGGCAGCGGGCGCGGGGGGCACCGAAGCACCCGGGGGGCTCTCTGCTTCAGATGGTTATTATTTTTTTTTTAATATATCCCCTTCTATTTTTGCAAGGAATCTGCATGGAAAATCCTGGCGGGGCCAAGGGGAGCTGTTCCCCCTGCTCCACCTTGGCCCCCTCCGGGACTTTTGGCCCCCTCCCCTTTAATTTATGCCTCTGTGGAGCCTGACATTCCGCCCCCCCCCCCCCGACATTCCCTCCCCAGGCTCCTTGGAAAAGCAGAGGGGGCCGCAGGGCTCCCGAGCGGAGCCTTCCCTCCCCAACCCCGGGAGCCCCCGGCCAGTGTCCCCACTACCCCCCCAACTCATCACCACCACCTTCCTCCACCCTTGGAGCGGGTTTTTCTGAGGACCAAAAAAATTAATTAAAAAAAAAAAGGAAAAAAAAAAAAAAAAAGCACCTCCCCCCGCCCCCCAATTCTCCTCTTTTAAATGAAATCGAGAAGGTTCCTATTTACTTTATTAACATACGGATTTATTATATAAATATATATTCAGCCAGCAGCACATGTCACGGGGTTTCTTTGCGGTGGGACCACGGGGGGCTGCGGGGGCAGCCGTGGGGCCAGCAGCCCCCGCGCGGGGCAATAAAACGTGTCGTATTTTTCAGGGTGCTGGGCTCTGTCTCTCTGTGAAGTTGGGGGGCGAAGCCGCTGCGGGGGTGGGAGAGGGAGCTGTAGGGGGCCGGGGGGAGCCTGGAGGGGCTCTGGGGGTCTCTGGGCTCTCCACGGGCTTCTAGGGGGTCTCTGGGGGGTTGCAGGGGGTGCTAGGTGGTCTTGTGTCTAGGGGGTCTCCCATGGGGGGGGTCTCTGGGATCTCCACGGGCTTCTAGGGGGTCTTTGGGGGGTCATATGCGGTGCTAGGTGGTCCTGGGTGGTGTCTAGGGGGTCCTATAGAGTCCTTGGAGGCCCTAGGGACTTGAGGGGATCCTAGGGGGGCTCTAGGGCGCCCTAGGAGTTCTCAGTGGGGCCCTGTGGGGTCCCTAGGGGGCTGTTGGAGCCCGAGGGAGTTGGAGGTGTTTTCTATGGGGTCTCCGTGCGCAGCTGGCCCCCCGGGCCCTCCGCGCTGTTGTGCGCCCTCCCCAGCCGCTGCGAACGGAGGCCCGGGGAGGGCGCCCCAAACCCGGGCGCTCGCCCCCCTCGTAGCCCAGGTGTCCGGGCGCAAGCCGAGATCCGGCGCGCTCCACCTTGCAGGCCGCCAAGGAGCAAGGGAGCACCAAGCACTGCAGCAAGGGACCCGGAGCTCCCCGACCCGCTCCCCGCACCCTGTTCTCCTCTCGTCTTCAGGCTCTCTGCTTGGCGCAGCCCCGGCCACTGCCACCCAGGCCCGACACCCCCACCAAATCCTCGGGAGAAGAGCAGGAAAGAACACATCCTCCCCCTCCCTCTCATTAGGCCAATTAATGCCTCGTTAGTGGGGGCAACTGGGAAGGAGGCGACGGCCCCAGTCCTCCAAAAAAAACCAACCACTTTATTGCTCGTACCGTACAAACCGGGCGCGCGGAGGGGGCCCCACGGCTCCCTCCGGCCGAGGGGCAAACGGGAGGAAAAGCCGATGCCCAAGGAAGAGCCCAGAAGCGAGGGCGGGCTGGTGGCACGGGCCGGGCGGCAAGTCCCGCTTGTCGCGGCCGCGCGCTCGCCGCACCCTTGGGCGCGCGCCGCACTGCATGCGCCCGCCGTGCACGGGCCGCAGCCCCCCCTTCTCCATGAGGGTGCGTCCGGGGGCAGATCCATTGCCGGCAATGGAGCAGAGTCAATCCCGACGGCAGCGCTCGGGTTTGGCACCGCGTGTCCCCCGAGTGCCACTGCTCTTGCCCGTGGGAAAGGCGAGCGCCCTTGGGGACGCACGGCGCGCTCCAGCTTTGCCACGGGAAGAGAGGGCGGCTGCAGGGCCCCCCCCCCCGGCGCTCGCGTTAAGGCAGCAAAAAACGTGTTTGTGGGGCGGGTGCGGGGGGGGGGGGCGTTGTGGAGAGTTTGGGGCGCGTTGGGGGGTCCTGCGGCTGCAGCCCGCGCTCGCAGCGTCACCTCCGTGTCACATCCCGCTGCGGGAGCGCCGGGGGACGCGGCCCCTGGCCGCAGAGCTGGGAGAGGTGCCGGATCCGCAGGGCTTGTCCCCATCCATGTCCCTTTCCGCAGCCAAAAGCCCCGCGGTGCCGGCGCGGAGCAGGGGGGGCTCAGTGGGGCAGGGGGGGGGTCGGTCATTCAAAAAGCTGCGAGCACGGCCAGGATTTACAAAAAAAATGAAATACAGTAATAAAATAAAATAAAAAGCAGTCCTAGGCAAGGGACAAAGTGCGGCGCGTCCGTGGCGGCAGCGCCGCGTCCCCCGCGCGCTCCGGGTGACCAAAGCACGAGCCCATCCCCTCCTCGCGCCGCCGGCGGAGCGGCGCCCGTTACTCCCGGATGCTGGCGGAGTAGGAGAACTGTGGGAAGTGCGTGCGCTGGTCGCTCTCCAGCGAGCCCAGGTTGTCATCTGCGAAGGAGAGGGGAGCAAGAGGCGTTAGGAGCATGAGGGACCCCCCAAACTCTTCCGTTTCCCCCTCCCGCATGGTTCCCCGCACACTGCTTGCGTGCGGGTAGGTGATGCGGGCGCCGCAGCAGGAGCCCGGCTGCGGAGCGAGCGCGAGCGGGCACTCACAGCGATCCGGCGGGGTGATGGTGATGGACTGGGCCGTGAACTCGTCGTCGAAGTAGCGCGTATCGATTTCCGACGTCACTTGCGGCTTGAAGGGAGGCACCAGCTGAGGGGGCAGAGAGGCCGGGCTCGACGCGCGGCCGGGGGGCCACGCGCTTCCCCCCGGCCACGCGCTTTCCTCTCCCTACCTTTTTCTGAACCACGTCCTGCCAGTTGATGGCGGCGAAGAAGCGATGCTCCATCACCTCCTTGGCATCGCTGGGACCTCCTCCGAGCCTGCGGCACAACACAGCCGTGGCCCCAGGGCTGCCACCCTGCTCCACGCTAGCTAAGGACACGCTTCAGACCCTGCTCGGGATGAGTTTTCAGACCCAATTTAGGGGGATTTCGGCCAACGGGGGCTCAGAACGTGCCCAAAGGCAGGTTGCAGGGGCCGAAACCTAATTGCGCACTAACAGCGAGTGCTGTTTGGGTGCCACGAGACTCAGCAAAGGCTGCAGAGCAGCGGGATCGCCTTGGCAGCCCCTCACCTCTGCTTCGGGTCCTTCTTGAGCAGCCCCGCGAGCAGGGACTTGGCCTCGGGGCTGAGTGTGCGCGGAAAGCGGATCTCCTCCATGAGGATGAGCTCGAAGAGGCGCTCGTGGTCCTGGTTGTAGAAGGGCAGGCGCCCGCACATCATCTCGTACATGACGACACCCAGGCCCCACCAGTCCACGGCGCGGCCGTAATCGTTGTCCTCGAGGACCTGCGTGCGGCGGGGAGCGCGTGAGCGGGCAGGAGCACGGCCTCAATTGTCCCAACCACAGGAACCGCCTCCCTTCCGACACCACGCTCCAGGTTCGGGGAGAATCTCCCCACGGACAGACCCGCAAGAGGCTTCGGTACCTCTGGCGCCAGGTACTCCGGGGTGCCACAGAAGGTCTTCATGGTGGCGCCGTCCGTGATGCCCTCCTTGCAGAGCCCAAAGTCCGTGATCTTGATGTGACCGTCCTTGTCCAGCATGAGGTTTTCGAGCTTCGAGGCAGAGAACAGAATACGTTCAGACTAACGATCCCCGGGGAGCTGGGCGCAGCAGATAAACCTCGCTCGGCAGGTTTGGAGAGCAGAAGACTCGCTCGAGGGGCTGAGCTCTGCTCCTTCACCCTCCCTCCCATTCCTGGGGCCCCAAACACCCTTCAACCCATGTGGAGAGAAGCAGCTGCTGCCCAAGAACATTAATCTACATTAATAATCTACCCTAATGCTAATTGGGGCATTTCATCGCTTTTGGAGGCCTCTCAGTGGGATTTTCTGAGTGCCGGCTCCAACAAAATCGACTCTATGCCCCAAGAAGAGGCTCCCATGGAAATCAAAGCACGGACGGCGCTGCTGTTTGCGAGCCCTGCTCCTGCGTGCCAGTACCTTTATGTCCCTGTACACGACGTCCCTGGAGTGCAGATACTCCAGAGCAGACACTATTTCCGCTCCGTAGAACCGGGCCCGGTCCTCCGTGAACACCCGCTCTCGAGAGAGGTGGAAAAAGAGCTTGGAGAGAAGAAAACGCAAAAACAGCAAGTCAGCGAGTGCTTAGAAGAGCAGAAGCGGCGCTAATCGCGCCGAGGACGCTGGTAATGCGGTCATGTGTGTCCTAAGCTCCTCGCCTCGAACATTCAAAACATTTACAGGCCCCCGCTGCCCGAGAACATAATGCCAGGCTTTGTGGGCAACACAAACGAGGGAAGCACAGTATGAAGCGGAAAAAACAACGCTGGAAGCGATTCCAGGGAGGAACTCCCGGCAAGGCCCACAGGCGCAACGCCGTCGTGTCCGAGAGCTCCTCTCCAGCGGGAGGAGGATGGGAGGCACTGGGAAGCGCGGAGTTCCTCACCTGGATGCCTGGTTTGCAATAAGAAGGGCCTCAAGTGCGGTATGGGGCGCAGGAGAGCCGCAATCCAAGCGAGAAGAACCAGATGGGGAGGAATTGCGGGGCAGGGAACGGGTAGAGGAGGGCAGGGGGCTCGGGGGGACGCGGCTGCTCGCTGTCACTACGCGGGGGAATCGCCCTCCAGACGCAGGGCCCTCACCTCGCCGCCGTTAGCGTATTCCATGACGAAGCAGAGGCGGTCGTTGGTCTGGAAGGCGTATTTCAGTGCCTGCAACGGGAAAACAAACCCACCCGGGAGCATGCGGAAGGCGCCAGCGGAGCCGGGGCGCTTGTGCAAACAGGACTTCTGCTGTGAGCAAAGGCCGGCAGCGAAGCCGGAGCTGCGCTCCCAGAGCTGCTGCTTCCCCAGCGCGCCCCGAACCTCCCGGCAGAGGTGGCCAGGGCTGCCTCCAGCCCAGGGACGGCATGGGCCTGGCACAGGGACGTTCCCACAAGCTGGAGGTTCCCAGTATCCCCAAACCGCCCATGCGGAGCAAGAACCGAGGGCGGCTTGTGGACGATGTCCAAGGCGCCGTGGCATCGACAAGGGTCTTTCCAGGCCACGCCACATATCCCCAAGCGCATCCTCTCCCAGGATAGCGCGTGGGAGAGGTGGTCGGAGCACACTTACTGTCAGGAACGGGTGCCGGGTGTTCTGCAGCACCCTGCTCTCCGTGACCGTGTGCGCCACCTCATCCTGCACGGGGAAGGAGCAAGAGGAAGAGGAACTGAACGGCACCTTCCCGCTTGGAGCCGCTCCGTTCAACGGGAGGATTCGCCCCAACGCGACGCACGAATCGCGCGTGGAAAGCGGCTCCCCCGAGCACCAGCAGCTCCCACCTCTCTCCCGGCCCGCGCCCAGCGCCTACTTTCGCAATGATGACTTCTTTCCGCAGGATCTTCATGGCGTAGTAGCGCCCGGTGGCCTTCTCCCGCACGAGGATGACTTTGCCGAAGGTGCCTTTCCCCAGGAGCTTCAGGTAGTCAAAATCGTTCATAGTCTGGGGAGAAAAACAGCATGGAGATGAGCACCCGCGCCACGGCCGGGCGGCATCCGAGACAGGGCGGCTCTGGAGCTGCTGTTCAGTTGACAACCGGGATATTCCAGCAGTGCCCGGCCGACGTTTGTCCTGCTGGGCACGCTCCGTGTCCGGAGCGTATCCGGAGCGACGGCTGCGGATCACAGCGGCCACCTCCAGCCCGAGCCTCCGCTCCCCGTCCCGCAACGAGGGCCCTTGACGAGCCGGACGCCGCTCCGGACGAGGCTCCTTGGGGCACCTCCCGCTTGGACTTTGCTCCCTTTTCCAAGGCAACGTGTTGGAAAGGGGGGGCCATCCCCTCGCGCAGGAAGGGAGCGCTCCGGGCGCCTTACCGCTTTGGCGCGCGTTTTGCTCACTGCCACCTCCATCTCCTCCGCCCCTGCACTGTCACTCGGGGAGCCGCACTTAAAATCCATCGCGTCCACCGCCGGCTCCTGGTTCTTCAGGCTGTTTGCTACCGTCTGGATGGCGCGCATCCATTCTTCCCTGTGGAAAAGGGGGACTCACTCAGGCACCGTTGCGCTTCCGGGGGTTTTACAACTCACAGAGAAGCTGTTTTCTCATCTATTTTCTTTTCCTAACGGTTAGGTGGCACGTGGCGCCCTCGACACCTTGTTTGCAAGGGAACGAGCTTCCCTGCACAGGGAGCAGGCGGATCCCAAGGGATCCGGATGCCCGGAAGCGCCGGGCGAAGCAGCTCTGCTTTCCAGCGCGCGCTTTGCCTACCGCTCCTCAGGAGAGTCCACGTGGAAAGTCCTCTCGATGACCGTCGTCCACTGCAAGCACCGGATGACAAAAGTGTTGGGCCGGGGCCGCTCCGTCTTCATCAGCTGGCACTCTGCGAGGAAGAAGAGGGAGCGGGACGTGACCGAGGAGCCCAAGCGAGCGGCAGCACGACGGACCTCGGGGTTGAGGCCGGCAGCCTCTCAACCAGCGGGAGCCTCCGTCCGAGCGCGCCCACGTACCCGCCACCGAGAAGTTGTTGAGCGGCGGCAAGCTCTGCTCGGCCGCCTCGGGCCGCTCCTTGTAGCCGATGAAGGAGCCGTCGCTTTTCAGCAAGAAGTACCGGGGCCGCCACGTTTTGATGTATTCTCCTGCGAGGGAAGAGGAGGAGGAAGGTGATGAGCGCCCTGCTGCTGCCTCCATTTGTCTGCTTGCCCCTCTCCGGCACCCATCGGGTGCGGGGCTCTCGGGTGCCTCGGGGACCTGCCCCTCTGCACCACGCGCTGGGCGAGAGAAGGAAAACTGCAGCCGCCTCCAAGGCCGCTAAAAATAAAACCCGCAGCTGCCGCAGGGCCCGAGCTCCCCAGCTCCACCACGGCTAAAAATACGAGGTCCCTCCAGGGGTCCCGGCGGGGACGTTTTGGGGGTTCCCGGCGGCAAACAGGGCGGCCCCCGCGCAGAAAGGTGGAATCTGCCGGCGGGTGGAAGCGGAGCAGCCGGCTCCGCGGTGTGGGGCTCGTCCTCACCTCTCTTGTGCAGCCAGCCCTCCTTGACCACGGAGACGTCGCCCATGGTGGCGCCGGGGGCTCCCTCCTGGCGCGGACGCAGCTAAGGCCACGGGCAGCAGCGGCGCGAGCGCAGGCGGCCTGCGGGACAGCGGGAGCGCTCGCGGGAGCCGGGAACGCCCCGCCGGGCTTCCCGCCGCCTCCTTCTCCACTGCGGATTCCCGAGGCGGGAAGAACCGGGCAGCGCGGAGCCGCCTCGGCGGCGCGGACTCCCTCGTCGACGTGCTCCCGGCGACGCTGCCGCAAACGGCCGGCGGCGGAAAAATTAATCGGAGGCGCCTGACGGGATCAGCCGCGAGGGCAAAGCGGCGCCAGGGAGGGACGGGGGCGCGAATGCAGGGTCACAAGCGGTGCATCCTGCGCGCCGCATCCCGCTGTTCCACGCGCCGGCTCCGGCCGCTCCCCGGGGAACGCGGCCCCCGGGCCCGGCTAAACCTGCGGCCGAGCGGCGAAGCGGTCGCGCTCTCGGAAGCTCGCGAGGCATCTGGCGGCGCTGCGGGAATCCAATCCGGCGCCAAGTAGGAGCACGGGGCAGGGATGAAGGGGGATTTGGGGCCGTGTCCCGCGGCGGGCACCCCCGGCCCGCGGGAAAAGCAGCCAAACAACTGCCCAGCTTGGAATGGGAATCAGGATTGCGGCAAAATGGGCCCCGGCCGGGAGCGGAGTATTGATTTTCCACTGGGAACGAGCTCCCGCTTTGCCGGCTCTAGAGCAACGCGGGTCAAAGGGGAAGCAAACCAAAAGCCATCGCTGCGAAAGGTGGGCGGCAGAGCCCAAAACGCCTCTCCGGACCCCCGGGCTGCCCCTAAACGGGGCTTTTTTACCCGGTATTTAACCCGGGGCAGGTCCCACGGGACGATCCCGGCACGAGGGAAGCGCGCAGCCATGGCGCAGGGCAGAATTTCAAGCTGAAATTCCCATTTTTTTCCCTGCTGGAAGCGTGCGCCGTAAAGGGCCGGCGTGATAAGGAAAAGCGAGCGGCACCGGGCAGATTTCCGTGGAAAAACGAGGCAAATTCAGCGTGACCGATGGTTTCGCCGAGCATCACCGAGAGCGACGGCCGCCGGGAGACGGGTCACTTCCCAGCGGGAATATTCAGCAGCCAAAGAGAAGGAGCCTCCTGCGAGGGCTCCGGGTTTACACCCAAGGCAACACCAGTCGAATAAAAACAAGCCAAAAATAGGGTAAAACGCGAGGATTTCTGGCATTCTGAGGTCTTACATGCTCTGAGGACATTCCCCCCCCCAACATGGCACCACAGGACAGTGCCCCCCCCCAAAACCAGCCTCCTTCAAGGCAAAGACACCCCCAAACTGCTGCCTCTAAGGCAAGAGCCCCCCTAAAAGACGAAGCCACCCCCCCAAATGGCAAATACACCCCAAAATGGCAAATAC